GGCAGACCCCTTTAACATGGATGTGTCGTGCTACAGATGCATGATAATAATAATAATAATAATAATAATAATAATAATAATAATAATAACAATACACTTTATTTGTATAGCACCTTTCATGCACAAAGCAGCCCAAAGTGCTTTACAGAAAACACAACAACAATATTAAAATAATATTAAAATGAATACAAAACAAGATAAAACATCTACAGTGATAATATGTTCAAATAAAACATTAAAAAACAAATTAAACAATGTAAAATAAAAGCAAAACAGAAGAAAAAAAACAGTAAAACATGGACAATGATGCTAGTGACAATTGAAAGTTAACCCAAATTAAAAGCAATATTAAAAAGATAGGTTTTTAATTGGCTTTTAAACATTTCAAGGTAGTTTGCTGATCCACGGGGATTCCATAGTTTAGGGTCGTAAAAACAGAACGCAGCCTACCCAGATCTCTTGTGTGATACCCTTGGAATTTCTACAAGCAGGGCACTGGAGGGTCTAAGGGTTCTTGTTGGAACATAAAATGAAAGGCAGTCGCTGAGATAAGAAGGTGCTAGGTGATGTAAAGCTTTGTAGATTAATAAAAGGACTTTAAAATCGATTCTAAAAGAAGCAGCTAACCAGTGGAGTGATGCCAGCACAGGGGAAATGTGTTCTCTTTTTGTGGTGCTAGTTCAAATTCTTGCCGTTTTGGACTAGTTGTAGTTTCCGGTGATCCCAGTCTATCAAACACCATGACAGTTTTCCAAAAGTTTGAGCAACTCACATCACTATCAGAACACTACACAAAATACAAGATTGGATATTTTGATGGAAAACAAATGAAATTCCTTGTTTGTAAAGATTGTGTGATCATTCAGCATTACAGTTTCTTCAAAATGTATGTGCTGTTGCAAATTGTCCTCTATAAGCCTCTTGAAGACAGGGTTAAAATAAGAAAAGGTAACATTGCTATTGGTTTAAACATATTGAACATGACCCAAGAAAGACTTTGAAGATAATACAGAAAAAGAAAAAAAATGAAAAAAACTCAGTGAAATAACTTTAAAAAAAAAATAACAATCAGCTCATAAATACATGTTAAAAAACACACACACACACACACACACACATACACACACACACACACACACACACACACACACACATACACACACATGCACACACACACACACACACACACACACACACACACACACACACACACACACACACACACACACACACACACACACACACACACACACACACATTGACTGGCGTGAAACGCTTTTGGCACATTAAGAATACTAGTAGAACTGAAGCCAGGGATTTTACTGCTCAAACTAACTCGCAGGAATCCCTTTTAAAGCCAGTTTTTCAGAAACAAACTGGTCAATACCACATTATGTAGTTTTGGTTAAACATCATGAATGTCCTGATGGAAATACAGGGGGTGTGCACAGTATTTACCACAGCGTTAGATTTGAGCAATAACAGTCATTGTCACGAGAGTGAAAAAACCTAGGGAAATACCAAGCCTGCCTGATTTTACCCTGCTAGCTGCGGTGTGTGTGTGTGTGTGTGTGTGTGTGTGTGTGTGTGTGTGTGTGTGTGTGTGTGTGTGTGTGTGTGTGTGTGTGTGGTGTGTGTGTGTGTGTGTGTGTGTGTGTGTGTGTGTGTGTGTGTGTGTGTGTGTGTGTGTGTGTGTGTGTGTGTGTGTGTGTGTGTGTGTGTGTGTGTGTGTGTGTGTGTGTGTGTGTGTGTGTGTGTGTGTGTGTGTGTGTGTGTGACAGCTTCAGGGGAAGTAACCAAGCATTTCTGTCATTTCACAACTGAAGTATAAAAAAAAGGTCTTGTTGCTTTTCAGTTTAAAGTGAGTCGGTGTCTAGTGTAATTAACATAACGATTGTTAAGTGAAATGTTTACACTCAGATGGAAAGCACCAGGGATATCTTTCGATACCACACACACACACACACACACACACACACACACACACACACACACACACACACACACACACACACACACACACACACACACACACACACACACACACACACCCCTCCCTTTGACTCCTCCAGAGTCGTGTGGGTTTTATAATTTACTATTTAGCTGTCATCTCATGTATGCTGTTAATGGGGAGTGACAGTTAAGAGTTGTGGGTTTGGTATCTCCACCTAACACCGTTTCCTGAGATGAAACACTATCAGGGTACTTTATAGTGTTTTGACTGATAGATAGATTGAAAGGATAAGGCTCTCTTTATTCTACATTTTTCTCATGACATCTTAACAAGAACTGATCATATAAAATGCATCAGTGCCCCACGATGTTGCAGTGGTTGAAACGTTTCTTCATTACCAAGAAAACACACACTTATTTTAAGTCAAACCCAAACATTGCCCTGCAGTATTTAATACTCTCTACTGCAATACATGTGTGTTGCTCCATGATTGAAAATATTCCAAATATTTGTTTTGAGGAATGTTTGCTAAAAATAAATCTAGTTCCCACCTGTGTAAGAAATGTCAATGCTTGATAGTTGGTCTAGCAAAACATTGTTGATTAATAAAACCAGTAATTTTGATCAATTACACAATAAAGAAATGCATCTCCCATATGATAATACCTAATAAAATGAAAACTGTATGTCCACATGCAGGATCATGAATACATGGATACATTTCAAGCAGCTGAAATATGCACACAATGTCAAAACTTTTATTCGAACTTAAAAAATGATAGCGGTGATGCCAGAAATGTCCACCGAACCACCAAACATCTCAGCCTTAAAAAAGCCTTGTGTTTTAATATTTAGCTGAATTGATAGAGATAGATTATGCCGATACAGATGTCAAAGTGGGACAATATGATTTGTCCAAGCTTAAATGTAATTTACAAAAACGGATGAGTGTAGGTGATGGGAAAAGTATATATATTATTCTTTCGTATCATTTCATTGTTAAGATAAGATAAGATGGACCTTTATTTCTCCCCGTGGGAAAATTCAGCAGTAAAGCAGCAACAGTGTGAGAGTGAAAAACAGGACAGTACAGATTCACACGAGGATAATACAATTAAAAATAACATTATATAAGTCACTGTTAAAACGAGATATCACAACAAGATAAAACGTTGATCATCTGAATTAATATATACATATTTGAGTTCAGATTTTACTGAATGAGTAGGGGTATGAATACACTACACTCAAAATGTCACCGTGATTCAAAATGTCGCTTCCTCCAAAACATAAAGTATAGATGTGAAAAACATGATGAATACATGAATTAAAGAACAGCAAAGTTGATGAAAACTGCTTATGCAAATAATATTGCAACCCCACTTATACTTGCAAAACAAACAAACAAATAAAACCCCACCCAAGTATATTTTAAGTTGATAGACGTCTGACTCAGTGAACAGGTATTTACAGGTGCCGAGTGGCACAACTCCAACACATCCATCACTCACCACCTCTGTAATTTACTGCATTCAGCCTCACACACTGTCACATACTTCTTGATCAAAACTATTCAAGCCGGTGGCAGTTTAGAAACTTCCCAGGAGGCATTTTCTACTTCCTTCTTCCTGACCTGGGTTTGCATGAACAAACTATGTGCTGCTGCAGCATATTTGTACCTTTTATTCCTCAGCAGTAACTACAACCAACATCACAGACATGTCTTCCAGTTGAGCAAATCAAAAGGTACTAGATAGGAGATAAAGTATCTGGAAAAACTTGAAGATGAAAAAACGTTCCCACTTGGTGATTCAGTACCACGTTGTTTATTAGGTCCAATTAGTTTTACGAAAGCGACATACAAAACATAAACATAGCATAAAAAGTAAGGAAATGTGTGTTTGGTAGATTATTTCTTTGTTGTAACAATGCTTCTTGGCAATACATCTTAAACCGTGGGAAAGCCTGTTTATTCCTCTTTTAAAATATGCCACAATTGTGAGGAACAATCCATTTCTGGGAGGAGCAGCAGAGCTGAGTATGTTGGTTGCGCCCATGAAAGATTTGCCAAATCTCCTGTGCCATTGCCAAACAGCTTTTTGTTGCTGTTGTTATTGACTCTTGTTTTGAGCTCCTGGTATGGGCCCTGCTACAGTGGTCAGTTGGTGTCTGCTCCAAGAATTGGCATGCCACGTTTGACTGATCTGGATAGGGTTAGGGTTAGGCTCGTGCGATAGGGCAACTTGAAGCTGGTGTTCCGTGGAACCAAGTTGCGGCATTATCTGGAGAGAGCCCTACCATCTGCCAACTGAAGGCCAAGTGCCATATAATGGGGGATGTCAGAGACAGGGCGATAAGTGGGCGTCCCAAGAAGAAGGCACCCCAATAAGACTGTTTCCTCATCCTGTCAGCACTTGGGAAACGTTGGCAGTCTTCTACAGATTTGCAGTCAAGCTTTACAGGGCGATATGGCCTGCACGCAGCCAATCAGCGGTCTCATAGGGCTGCCTGGAGGCCTGCCATGACTGCCCTTAGAGTGGACCTATCATGCTATATTTGAATAATATATTGTAGGGCCATACCTATATAAGGTATATTTATACGTTTTCTTTTTCAAAATACCAAACAGATCATGCATTTTAGCCATGCCTCATTTCGCTCTATTTTGCTCTCCTCCACCCTGTCTTTGCATGCGCTGCAGCTGACCACGCCCCCCTGCAAAGGAGGGGGCCGAGTTACGAGCGTCGTGTTACCATGCTGTTACCATGCCACGGCAACCTCTCATTCCCCTGATAGGTCAGCTCCTCCGTCCTGACATCAGAGAAATGTTCAAATCTGGATCAGTCTGTATCAGATCCATTGCAGCCCCGTTTTTAGAGATTTGGGTATGGAGGAAAATAGAGAGGGTTGTGTTTTCTGACACTTGGTGAGTTCCCTGGAACACCTGTCAAGTACAATGAAAAGATAAAAGATGTGTTCCACAAATAGGAATATTTGCAATAAGGCAGAAATGTAATAATGATCACTTTGTTCTGCTTTCTGACAGAAAACCTCTTCGTCTGAAGCAGAAGAAGGAAGAAGGAAGAAGAAAATATGATGGCCGTCGGTGAAGGAACTGCTTGAAACTTAAATGGAGACAGTTCGTGGGAATTGTGATAATATATTTTCCGCAACAAATGATGGGCATCCAGTAAAGAAATGTGTTCTTAGGTCAGTGTTTAAAGAGTTTCACATCCACTATTTCAAGTGTTTCCGGTCTACAGTTAACCAACCTCAGGACACAAGCTCGTCAACATATCTTTATTTTCAGAGATAAATAACTACAAAAAGGGTTAATGAAGAAATAATTCAGCTTTTTTTTTCATCCATCGATGTTCACTTGACCTGATATTTTGATTGGACTTAATAGTGATAGGACAAACAACCTGACCTCTATGGGATTAGTATATTATTTTCTTTTTATTTAGCCAGAAAGTTAGCCACTGAGTCAACGCAGTTTAACAGTAAATATGTGTTTTTCAAAAAACACTTTCAATCAAGAGGATGCTTTGTGTTGGAGTTACTGTATGGTTTGATCACAAAGGCTCTATCATTTAATGAAGTGTACTGTGTGCTGCTATTATAAATATTTGATAATAAACTATACATTTCTGAAGTGATACTGCTTTTTACTTTTTCCCGTGTCTGTGAGTGATGAATAAAACACATTTTTAAATTAAAATGTAGATAAATAATGTATATTTTAGTAAAAAGCCCACCTCCCTTTACCTCCGCAAATCATTTCTAATTGTGTGTGTAAAACAGGTTGGGCTGCTAACTGTCCTTGTAAACGCAGATCCGGCTACAGGTCATTTATAAAGTTGTTTAACCACAACAACCTGGATGAGATTCAGTCTACGAAATATTGAAGCAACCTTCAAACGTCTAGAGATTACATTTACATTATGCACAATGTGCCGGAAAATGCTTGAAGGCGTTTTAAAATGTCAAAACATTTACATATTCAAAGATTCAGAGTGAATTGAAGGGGCTTGGTCTCAAAACCTCAGTAATTCTTCAATTCTGGCTGCAACCCTGTCTACAACTGTGGCTACAACCCGTGCCAATTTCTACTTTCAATCTGAAAATGTAAAGGATGTTATGTAGTTTTCCTTCAAAAACAACCCGTAATCCAGACTTTCTTTGTTTGGAGAGCATTATCAGCTAGCACTTGTTATGATCACATTTTTATCTTTGAAGTGTTTTTTTCAAGTCTCCTCACGCAGTTTACAGTAATAAGCAACACCTAGACAAACCTGAAAAGATTGATGTGATGAATGAAAAGAATGTCATCTCTCCTGCTAGCTTTGTTATGAAGGCCAATTGGCAGCTGCTGCAAACATGCAGACATATTTATCAAAACCTGGGCTTAACTCCTTTAATTTCAAACCTTTATTTAACCAGATTGGTTCCATTGAGATCATAGATCTCTTTTTCAAGGGAGACCTGCAGCATCCTCACACCCTTCTCTGTTGTTAGTGCTATTTGTGGTATTTTTAATGCTGAGTAATGTCCACTTGCATAGCGAAAGTGTTGCACAACTACATTATTTCCTCAAAAATCTGTAGAATTATAGGGGAACCCCATGGGAAAGAAAAACATTTGATGTAACTCGTTCCTATTCCTTATGTGAAAATACCTCGTGAGATACACAAAAACTCTTGTTCTTAATTGAACTGCACATAAAATAGATTGTATTGGTTTGTTTTAGGTTAGCAAACAATATAAAATCCAGTTTAACTTGTTACAAACGGAGTATTGAAAAGAGATATCTGAGCTTTTTAAAACTGTTTTAGGATTTAATTTAGGATGTCATATACAGTTTATTATACTCATTAAGACCAAGAGACCTAAATTGCAATGGGAGGAAATGTTTTGACTTTAACATCTAGTCAGAATCATTTATCTCACTGTCTGCACACAAACACACAAAGAGTAAAGAGTCACATTTATTCACATTTAGATTTTTTATTTTCTGAAAAAAGCACACAAACAAAAATAACTATTTACAGAAACTTTGTACAACTTTTCTTCCTGAACTTAAGGCTGTAATATATTAAAGTAGAGCTTTCACCAGAAGTTTGTTAAAATGATTTCTAATCCCTTAAACTAAAATGTACAGGTGCACATAACGGAAAATGGATGTTATGTAGTTATTAGAATTTGAGACTTTACAAAGTCAAATATTGATCCCACTACATTATAGAGGTAAGCATTGGCTACCCTTGTGTGTATTCATAGCTGAGTATGATCCTGCGCATGTCCACAAATACGAACTCCTGACAAAAAACTGAGCGCCAAAATGCCTTGAACCAGCCAACAACATTATAAATGAACAGCATGCGACTTCCTCCAACACAACACTTGAATAACTGTACAAAAAGGTTGATGGAGGTGGAGAAAGATCTCTGATTTGGATGGAGGGATCATGATGGTGGTGATGGGTGATTCACTGAGAAGGGGGGGGTGGATAGGATAAGCTTTTTAAAAGTCCAAAGTGTCAAAGCACTATCCCATCCTGAAGATCTCAATGCGTTTACAGGAATGGGGACCAGAGGTTGTCTGTGCGATTTGTGTAGTTTGAGCCCAATGTGGTGTAGCTTGGGATTTCGTCTATCTCGTCGGCTGTAAAACAACCAAAGGAAATCATAGGTTAGAACAATATACATCATATTATAAAATCCCTATCATTTCATGGTGAATGACCTGGAATCTTTAAAGACATCAGGCAGAAAGGCTACTGAGTTACATTGTGTGAAATGTAGTGTTTTTTACCCTTAAAATAGACCTAAAGTCAGAATATTTTAGACGGTTTTGCATTCGTTTTGAACACTCTTTTGTTAATCTGTCTCTTGGCTATGTGCGATATCGCTGAGACCCTAACTCCTAACCCTAACCCGCATCCAACCCATCAACTAGTAACATTTACCCGAGGAGGATTCACTCCACTGGCTTCCTGGACTGGTGTATGCTTCATCGCTCAGGAACCCAATGCTGTCTGAAGGGAATGTCGGCCAGCTTGTTTCTTGCTCCAGTTTTTGGCAAATCTATAAAAAGAGCAACACTGGACTGAGTATGGCTTTACTATTTTGAGCAATTGGACTTTTCCCAATCATAACAGTCTTATCTTATTGTTGTGGGAATTATTACACAAGCCAAACAGGCACATTAAGACAAACATGGGTATTCCTGTCAATGAAAAATGCATGCTTGCAAGAGTGGGTGCCATGCTTACATTGATGATATCTTCTGTATCGTCGTAATCTGGAAGATCACAGCAAGGAGAGAAGGAGAAAAAAAGGGAAGGATGAGTACAGCGCTGTGATAGCATTCCACTACCTTTCATTATTACATAAACCATTTATTAGCAAGAGTGCGTTTGGTGTTGTTTTCTTACCGGAGCTGTGCTCAGGTGAAACTTCAAATCTGTGGCAGAAGGAGTTTGGAAAGCTGGAGTCGATTTCCAATGACACAGACCAATCAGGAACGTCAGATGGATTTAGGAATGAAAAATCTGCAAAAATGGCAAAAAATAGCATTAAGTACACGTTATTTTCCAGATAATAGTAGGAACAATTGGTGTTCTTCTATATACTTGTTCAACAAGTTTCTTCCTCAACTATCCGTTTCTTCCTCACCTGTCTGCTCATTTTTCACTGTGCTGTCCACTTTGTTCTCCTGAGTGGACAAAGGCTCTCTCCAGATTGAGTCTTCCTCCATCTTGATCGCGTTCTGTTGAAATAGAAATTACATTTTGTGAGATTTATAATTTCCCCATAAGATAAAAAATACATCTGCAGCTTTATTTCTAGCTCTGATTCTTTTTTTAATATATATTTAATGTGAAAATACCTTTTACTATGCAACAATTATTACGAATGACAAGATATCAGGAGTATTTACCTTCGTTCTGGACTTTGTTTGCCTTGTCTTGCTTCGTTTATCTGTGTAGATGAAAGAAAGACATTTTCATTACTTAAACAGCTCAATGTGTAAAGTAAAAAAACAAATCAGCATGCGGCAGTCGCTTCACTGCGAAATTATATATAAAAATGCTTGCTGGCTTCCTGTCAGTTTTCTCACCTCTAGATTTGGGGCACACAGGCAGCATCCTGAAGACACGCACAGCTTGGTGGCCTTTGTTGATGCTCTTGTCTTTCACCTCCTCGATGTCAGGCAGTGAGTTCATTGCACAGCGGAAGTTGGCTTTCCATGTCTTGGGGTCACAGGCCTGACCTTCAATGTATTTTCCTGCAGAATGCATTTTGTTTAGTATCATGATTGTTCATCCAAACAAAAGAAGAGTGTTTGCGTTATTCTGTGCAGAGTTAGGGTGTCACACTTGCTCACCTGTGTGGAGTGCCCATTTTTTGAACAGGCATGCGTCCTTATCCATCTCCCAGCCGTGTCGGGCCGCATGTTTCCAGGGAATTGAGAACATTTTCGAATCCTAAAAAAGAAATACAAAAGGTTGGAACAAAGATTCATAGAAAAAAACTACACAACACAACATTTCAAATATGTAAGTAGCTGTCAATCTAAGTGAGAATCTAACTTAGGTTACTGTTAACAATTATCTATTGCATAGCCATAACATATATTTTGCACAGCACACCAAAAAACGTGTTATTTTTCTTTAGTTCAACAAAGAATATACTTGAAAATCTGTGAGAAAGAGACAAACTTGGGTTACAACTATCTCTCAGTGTCTTTTGTTTGGATAGTCTGTTTAAACGGTTACCATAGTTGCCAAATGTTTTTAATAAACTGTCAGCCATACGGTTTTTTTGTTTTTGTGCACACCACCAAAACGCAACCCAGCTGGTGTATCAAACAACCTACTGTAAGAGTAGCATGCAAATATTGTGTGGTGAGCTTCGGAACAACATTAAAAAAAAACTCATGCAGACACATCACTTCCCTGTTGCATTCAGAATGTCTGTTTCTACTCCTCTCAATATGCTGAATACGCTTTCAGTAAATGACATTGACATGAACCAATCCCATTTGTTTCAGAAGAAAATTCTCTTCTCACCTTGTCCACCCAGTTGAGACCCGAGACGGTACATGACTCGATCTGGTTCTCCAGCCATTGCCTCATCCTCTCCCTTTTTACCGGCATGTTTGCCTAAAATATGCATCAACAGAGGAAAGGAGTCTTTAGATAAACAAGAAATGCAGTGTGTGATATACAACAGCAGTGAGAGGAAATCGACTTCAACATCTGCCTGAACTTTTAGATTTACTGCTGCCTGCTGGCCGCGCGTGAGGCTGCGGGAGGTTCACGGCCGGGGCAGACAGGCTGGGGGGGGGGGCGTGTCGGAGCCAGGCTACTTATGAAGGTCACAACAGACCAAAACAAAAACATGTCCTGATTTCACATGTAGTGCTTTTAAAATTAATAATGTCTTAAATTCCACGTGGACTAATTTAGAAGTCCAAAAGTTTGAAAAAAAAGTCGTGCAAGTCAATTGTATCCACACAGGTGGCACTGGAAAGGCGCGTGTCCAAAGATCCCCGCGCGCGGGCAGACACACCTCCTCGTGCAATGCTGAATGTATGCGATAGATAGCAGACAACAAGGTAAAAAAAAACTACCAATTAAAAAAATCCTGCGAAT